GGCGGAGGCGGCGAAGCAGCGCGCGCTGCCATCACTCGGGAGACGGCGCCCTCATGTCATCAGCCTGCGGTCCTCCTATCGGACGCCTTCCGCAGCAGAGGCGGCAAAGCCACGCTTCCGCCTGGCGGCGCCGCGGAGCCACAAGTGGGCGCAGCGCGCGCAGCCCCCGACCCGGGCACCTCTGACACACCCACCTGCCGCCACACTCACGCGCCTCCCACAGACCACACACACCAGCGCCCATGCGCGCCCTCGCGGGGGTCACAAGGTACCTCTACATCGCCATGAAAACACTCAGTATCCTCGTGCCAGCAAGGTCCTTGGGAGGTCACCTAGTTCGTCCCCTGCCTGCAAACAGGATCAGACCTCAACCCTCCAAGTTAGTGAGACTGCTGGGTCCTGCGAGGCCCCCCAGGAGAGGACTTCCCGCTGACTTCTTCAGGAGTGGGCAGCTCTGTCTTCTGGAAGGGCTTTCACGTACGGAGCTCAAGGACTCCAAGCCGTTAAACAGGTGCCGACAGACCACCGCCAACAACTCTCTGAAAAGTCCAAAACCCCAAAACCAAGAGTTTCTTAGCCTGAGCGCCTGCTTCCACCCAGAAGATGGTTGGCCCTTATCCTCTGCATACAGTGCATTTGGAAAGACAAACGCGTGACACCCAGGACTCGGTGGCAACCGTCCTGCACTCAGCCCCCACTCAGAGCCCAGCCACTACCAGGCAGAGCCGCCGACACATTCCCTTGAACAGCTCCAACTCCCTCTTTCTGAGGTGGCCTTAGCTGTGTTTTAAAAATAATCATACTAACCCAAAGCCATTCTGAACCAAAGTCTTGAATAAGCTGGAACACCAGACTCGGAGATTTGTCCATCTCCAAAGCAGCTGATGAGCAGAGAGGAAGGATGAGAGAGGGCCGGTGGGTTGGAAAGACCTACGGATCAGAAATTAAAAGCCCTGGCTTCTGGTTCTAGGTCCCTGGATGATGCAAATGGTTTGCCCTCAGCTACTAACATAAAGGTTGACAGCTTGAACCCACCCAGTGGTGCTGTGGAAGAAAGGCCTGGCGATCTGCTTCCTTAAAGATTACAGCCAAGAAAACCATATGGAGCAGTTCTACTCTGTAACACAGAGGGACCACCATGAGTCAGAGTCAACGCAACGGTAACAGGTCCGTTTCTACCCTTGCCCTGAGCAGCTGTGGGACCCTGGGCAGGCCGTTCCCTTCTCTGACACTTGGTTTTCCTCCGTAAACTGAGGAGGTTAAGCTAAGTGATCTAAAAGGCCAGCTTGTGCTCCAGCACTCCCTCACGTGGGGGAGACACCAGGCCTGGGGTGGCTGGAAGTCCAAGGGCTAATACAGGGTTTCATGGAGCATCAGCATCATCTTTGGAACAACTCTGCGCCCTACTGAGGCTGTTGCTTGGACAGAGCGTTCATTTATCAGGCATTTGTGTTCTCCTGGGTTGGTTTAAAATCGATTTTGTTTTCCTCTGGTCGCTCTGGGACATTCCCCACCTCACCCCACGCTGCCCCAGCCTCTTGCTTCACCATTGCATTTTCCAAAGCACAGCAGAGGCTCTGACACCCGGCGGTACACGTTTGTGGAGAGAACAACTGAGCCTCGTCTGAAGCAACTTTACCCGGGAGAGAAGGAACTCGTTTATGCGGCACCTGCTGCGTATAAAGGAGCCCCGGTGGCACAGTGGTTAAGCACTCAGCTGCTAACCAAAAGGTTGGCGGTTCAAACCTATTAACCTCTCCAGGGGAGAAAGATGTGGCAGTCTGCTTATGTAAAGATTTATGGCCTTGGAAACCCTATGGGGCAGTCCTACCCTGTCCTGTAGGGTTGCTGTGAATCGGAATTGACTCAACAGCAATGGGTTGTCAGGTTTACTATGTATCAGGCAGGGGCCAGCGGTGGTTCAATTCTCACCTTCCAGGCAGGAGCCCCAGGTTGGATTTCTGGCCAGTGCCCCGCGTGCGCAGCCAGCACCCAGCTGTCAGTGGAGGCTGTTGAGCATGGCGTCACCATGAGTCAGGGGCTGACTTGAAGGCAGCTAACAGCAACAAGTGCATTAAACACTTTGCACGTGTCCTTTATTTGCCCCTCAGGGCAACCCATCATACAGATGAGCGAACACAGGCTCTGAAAGCGCACAGTGCTTGCCCAGCGTCCTCTGCCCTTACAACCGAGCTGGCCTCCTCCCCTCACGCAGACCAGGGGCTCTGAGAACCGGGCAGTGAATGCAACATCGACAGTTAGCTCTTATCTGCACGGTTTCCTGGGCCCTGGCCAGGGGCACAGCAAGGGTAACAAGCACCCAGGGGCAATCTCTAAATTGCTCCCCCTCATTCCAACACTCAGGGACTATCTCTAAATTGCACCCCCCAATTCAAACGCCCAGGGGCAATCTCTAAGCTGTGTTCCCCTGAATTTCAAGATGAATAGACATTGATAGAGTCAAAACATCAGCAGAAATACCTTCCCCCCTTGAATGGACATGGGAAATGCGGGGTGGAAAAGAGGAGTGCTCTGTCACCATATAGGGAGAGCAATTAGGGTCACATAACAATGTATGTATAAATTTTTGTATGACAGACTAACTTGAATTGTAAATTTTCACTTAAAGCACAACAATAAAATAAAAAAAAGAAATGCCTTCCCCCTTGTTGTTCAGCTGCTCAGTCAGGCGCCTTTCATATTTGTGGCACCTCAGAATGTTATTCCACGCCTCGTCTGGCATGCCCTTGGACTTGCTCCCCGGGGCAAGCGCCCCCTTCTGGCCCCCTCTCGCTACACCCCTGGTCCTGGCGCCCCTCCTCTCACTTCCCCAGGGCCACCCTTAGAATGGATGAGCCACAGTGATTCCGGGAGCCACACTGCCTGCTTCCCGGCCTGGCCCTGCAGCTTCCTGTCCGTGTGAACTTGGGCAAGTCACTTCACTTCTTGAGCCTCAGTCTCCACGTAGGTAGAATGGGAACCACCAAAGTACCAACCGCAAAGTTATTGCAAGGGTTAAATGAGTTAATTCATGTAAAGGCCTTAGAACAATACCTGGCATGTAATTAGTGCTCGGTAACAGGTTAGCAATTAGTATTAACTATTACGACTGTTAAGATGAGACCTGTGTGCAGGAAGCTGGGTGGAGGGGAGGGGTTATGATTAACGAAAGAGAAAGAGACCCAAAGATCAGCCACACAGTCTGTTCTTCTCTGAAGCACATTTCGCCCAGACTCCCAGCTGTGGCTTCCTGGGCTCTGGTAAAGGCGGACAGATCACCAGTCCCAACTGGACAAACAGTTGGCAGGAATACACCCAAGGAGACAGCCTCTGTGGATTGCCACCCCAAAGTCCCAGTGGTTTTGCCCTGCAGGACCTGGGCAGGGCAAAGCAAGGAAGAGTGAATGTTTGAGACCCAGGCTTTTGCCCACACAGAGCGCAGGCATAGCAAATCTTTCCCAGGGATCACCATTCCTGGGCGCACCTGTGACCTTCCAGGGAGGGAGGGCTTCCTCCGAGGCCAGTCTCCTCTCCACCAGGTGGCGGGGACAGCAGGCAGAGGGAAGGCAGCCCCCACTGGCAACCGCATGAGTCATGAGGTCCTTCCTCTGCCCTCCCTCCCACGGTGCAGGGCCAGACAGGGTGGCCTGCTGGAGTGTTTGACACACGTCCTCATCTGCCTCATCGGTGACTGTCTTCCCATCAATATTAATTATGATCTTTATTGGCATATCATCTTCCATTAAGATGGTGTTTTTACATTTCAAGGCCCAGTCAAGTCTCACGTCAGCCCTAAATTGCCCTTAGTGATCTAGCCTGCATTCCTTTGCCAGTGTCCATTGGCCACCTAGTATGTGCCGACTGTTTACCTCCCACTTCTCAACTCACAAAGCGTTTGGGATCTGTGGCATACAGCCGATGCTGGATCACACATGGTCTTGTGGGGTTCGCTAACGCCCCCTCCTCATCAGTAATGGGCGCCACTCTTCATTCATCTGCACTAGCCTGAAACGCCTGATCCTCTGCTCGTTTTTCTGGACTCATTCCTAATTATCCTTCAGGTGTCACCTGTGAAGTACTGGCTCCTTCCCTGAAGTCTTCCCTGACCCCTCCCCAAGCTAAGCTGACAATTCTTGCATGTATACCCTTGCTATTCTTCTTAATTGCTGTCATATTGGCCCCCAACTCACGGTGACCCCATGCACAAGGGAGCAAAATACTGCCCAGTCCTGCACCATGCCCGTGATCGGTTTTGGATTGGACCATTGTGATCCATAGGGTTTTAGTCGGCTGATTTTCGAAATTAGATCACCAGGCCTTTCTTCCTAGTCTGTCTAGCCTGCGTTCCTTTTTTCAATGTCTGGAAGCTCCCCTGAAATCCGTTCAGCAACACAGCAAGACTCAAGC